AATGACCACACTGTATATTGAAATTATGCTCATATTATTATTTTGTAGAAGCGAGGGGGAAAATCCCAAATAATCAAGTAAAATGTATGTAACACCTCCTCGATCAACCAACAGGCGGTATTTCGAGCCGCCATTGCTTGAGATTTGACATTTCATGGAAGATGAATGAAGTCATTATGATATCCGAAACGCAAATGAAATTGATCACATACAAAGTACCTCATTGATCACATACAAAGTACCCCATTGACGAACGGAACATTTTGGTATATAAACGAATTGGGTCCAATCAACTTATTTTGACCTCTACTTCAAGTAGAGCAATTTTGGGACACCCTATATATAATTTATAACTGAAGTCATGTGAGGAATTTAAGCAAAATTGACAATAAGTAATCACTAGATTCGAAAACTCTTGGAGAGTAGGTTTCCCGAAACGAAATAGCGATATACAAATGCTACAAGTTCTTTATTTATATTATTTTGGAGAATTGGAGAATCAAATTGAAAGGTATATACACTCTGATCCGAATCTCTGACCATTGGACTATAGAAAAGTTTGAGAGTTTGATGTTTTTCTCCAATATTTATATGTTCAGAAATGGACATACAATGATTCCATTTCTGCCTTATAGAATCTCCGAGAATAGATTCACCTATTATACATAGAAAACATCGTTATATTCACATGTCTGATGTTTTGTTATATAATTTTTCAACAAAAAGAATGATATATACTTCTTTATCTTGATACAATCAAATTATCATGTCAATATCTTCCTGATTCGAATCAAACAGATTATCAAACACAAATACTACAATGTACGAACCTTTCTCAGCCCTCTAGAATTCTTCATAAAACAGTTTCAATCAGATTTGAGTAGGTATAGCAAGGAATTTCTATCGATTCAACTTGGCAACAATGCGCTACCGCTTGTTCCGAGTCTCCACGCGTCTCACACATTCTGGTATATTGACGGTCTGTCGATGTACGGTTCTGATGTTTTACGGGTCTGTCAATGTACGGTTCTGCCATTTTACGGTTCTGCTATTTCACGGGTCTTAATCCAAAAAATTCTGAAAATTTACGGGTTTGGTAGCTGCACGATTCTGCCATTGTACGAGTCTGTCATTTTACGATTCTGCTGTTTTACGGGTCTGTCGTTTTACGGTTTTGATGAATTATGGATCGGAAATTCCGGTAGTCCGATGGATTATGAGTCTGTCGATGTACGGTTCTTGCATTTTACGGATCTAGAGTATTGGCAGTCTGTGCTTTTACGAGTCTGTCATTGTACGGATCTTTCATTTTACGGGTATCAAAAATCGACAGTCTGTCTTTTTACGGGTATGAACTTTTCGCATTCTGCCATTTTCAGATTCTGTACATCACAATTCTGCCAGTTTGCTGGTCGGGAATGTTCATTCTGATGAAATGGTGGTCTACAGAGTACGGGTCGCTGAATTACAGTCTATGACTTTACGATTATATATTTTTATGATTCTGACGACATGAAGAGTATTTTATTTACTGGTTTGGCAAAGTACACTTCTGAATATATGGCAGTCTTTCGATATACTATTGTGATTTATGCATTCTGACATAATGCAGTCTGTCAAAGTACGGTTCGACAAATTACGGGTTGTACATATTGCAGTCGCTGAAATATGGTTCTGATGATTTGCTATTCTGATTTCTTACTATTCTAGTCAAATAAATTCCTACTAATCGACGGTCTGTGTCGATACGTTCTGATGATGTATATGGACCCGAGCTTGAAGTATGTAATTTCGATCGTTGTATATTTCCAGTAGTCTCTATCATCATTTGATAACATTATTTGAAAAATCGGCAGATTTCTTCAACGTGAAATGGTACAAAAATCAGTTACTTTTCGATACAGTTCCAAAAAAGGAGACTTCAGTAGATCTTCAATCTATGGTAGTCATTATAACTTCGTGTTGCTCAATACATTGTGCTAGAGAGATTTCCTACGTTCTCGCGTGGTAATGATAATTTTTGGTTGAATTGTCCGTATACCGATACTTTTCTGTAACGAACTATTTTATCAAAATTCCATAGATGAATGTTCCAAAATATACCGGGTCGTCCATTTAAGACTATCCACCCTCGATAATTCCCAGAATTATTATTTTACAAAAAAATTACGAAACACGTCGATTTTCATATGGAGGGGAACACCTTCACCTCTTGACGCAAAATAAATAATCCATACTTCAACTCTCTACTACCCAGAGCAACCCCCTCAATAATTTGAATAGGGAATAAGAGGTTCGTGTTATACATCGTTGCGAAGGTGATTCAATTCTGAAACTAGCAGTGGAAAGTTTTTTTAATTCCAACAAGTCGTTCTCGCGATATTCGAGTCTAAATGATATGTTTTCCAATTGCGAGTAATTGAATGTACGGAATGAATTATTGAATGGTTATCCACAACGAATGTTCAAAATTACCTTCATTGACTTCCAGACAGTGGTAGGATCTATTTGTGAATTCCTTCCGCACCTTTGAGATGTTTCTCCAGTTATTGCCTGGCATTCAACCCTAATTCGTTTTAACTTATTGTCCAGATCATTAGTAGATTACGTTTTATAAATAACGGATTCCGGATGGCCCCAAAGAAATAAATCATTGTGTGCCAAGCTCGGCGAGCGTGCTGGCCATTTAAATGGTCCTTCACGACCTTTATCTATTCGTTTGATAAATTTTGGGACAGTCATTCTCTCACCTGTGATACGGAATGAGGTGCCAATAGATTTCGATTACCATCATCATATGGGTCTGTAGAGGACCAATAGAATGGACAGCACGTCTGCCGAGCTTGGCACCCAATGAATTTTTCCTATGGGGTCATTTAAAATCGGTAATTTATAAAACGGAACCTACCGACCTCGATGATTAGGAGAGAAGAATGAAAACTTAATGCCAGGCAATATCAAGAGAAACATTCTCAAACGTACAAGAGGAATTTTCAAATAGACTCTACCACTGTCTAGGAGTCATGGAGGCCATTTTGAACGTCTTTTGTGAATACCTGTTCAATTATCTATTATTCACATTCATTCACTCACAATTGGAAAACATACCATTAGAACTCGAATATCTCGAGAACGACTTGTTGGAATTCAAAAAACTTTCCACTGCTAGTTTCAGAATTGAAATTCCTTCGCAATGATGTATAACACGACCCTTATGTTGTTATTACAATATTGAAGGTTACTTATTTCTCGTGTCACTCTGTGTAAGACAGAGAAGGCCTGAACAAAGAGTGAGTTATAAATGTCGGTTGTTTTCTGTTGTTATGGTGTTGCTAAAACGAGAAAATAATAATGTAACAAAACTTTCATATTGTATGTATTCTCGTATTTCACGGAGATTAAAATAAGTTTCTAAAAGTCTATTTCAATTACTGTGTCCACTGTTAGCCCCTCGGTTAGCCCTCTACCACTGGCACCTGGATGAAATCAACAGGTTATGGGCCCAGGAATCGTGAGCAAGAAATTGTGAATTCAAAGAGGAGCAGTGGAGCAAACGAAAATTGAATGCTGATTGTTCGTTAAGGTTGAAGCTATGGCGAATAGTGAAAGAAACTCCGGAGTATATGCATGTCGATCGAAAAACTCAAAGGTCGGAAGAATTATTCAGACTGAAAATTCCAGATGAGTGCCTTGTTAAAGCTAGACGGACTTTGGTACTGCGTGCTGCTACAAGAGCACGCCATGCAGAAAAGGCATTGTCCAATGCAATCAAAAACTCGTTCTGAAGCCTGGAATGCACTCGAAAAGGCATTTGAGGACAAAGGACTCCATCGAAGATTGCGATTGTTGCGGAATTTGTGTTCCATCAAACTTGAACGCTTCAATAACATGGAGGATTATGTGAATGAAATTTTGGCTTTGTCACAACAACTTATGTCGATTGGTAAGCCCCTGGATGATGAATTTCTTGGTGTTATCATGCTACAAGGACTCACAGAAGAATACGAACCAATGGTGATGGCTCTTGAAAATTCTGGTGTGGATATTGCATCAGATTTCGTCAAAACGAAATTATTGCAGGAAAAAAAAAATAATGTAACAAAAATATTATATATTGTATGTGTTCTCGTATTTCACGGAGATTAAAAATCAGTTTCTAAAAGTCTTTTTTCAATTACTGTGTCCACTGTTAGGCCTCTACCACTGGCACCTGTATAAAATCAACACCTTATTCCCTATTCGAATTATTGGGGAAGTTGTTCTAGGGAGTAGAGGGTTGAACTATGGATTATTTATTTCGCTTCAAAAGGTGTCCCCCTCCATATGAAAATCGACCTGTTTCGTCAATTTTTTGTAAAATGATAATTCTGGGAGATATCGAGAGTGGATCAAATGGACCACCCGGTATATGATGAATAAAATAAACAATATATATTTGTTTTCCCAATCAATATCACCTACCCTATTTGATTGATTGATTGATTGATAATGACTAATGAGAGTATTGCTGGTCTACATGGATAGGTATGCATGAATGCTATGAAAGAATCACCTGTCAATTTATCATTATTCATCTTTGAATGAGAAAAATATTGACATATTGACATAATGGAATGAGGTGAATTTTGAACAATTCTGAAACTTTACTGATATCATACCAAGGACACAGTTTAAGGAATACCCATTCCTCAAACTGTGCCAAGGATGACCTATTCAACATAGGCATAGAGTTAGTCACTCCAAGTGTAAATTTTCTTTGAAATAATTAAATGTCTCAAAAACAAATGGAGATATCGAAAGGATTCAAGATGCGATGATTCCAGCATTTCACACAGAATCTGGAAATGCAATATTATATATAGTGTTTTATTTGGAAAAAATGCGCGATTGTATATCTGGTCATAGAATGACTTGGGGATATTATTTGCGAACCTAACCAGCGTAGGAATCCACCGCTGGAAATCAAATATTCGTATCTTATTCTTGTTTTTTGTTTTCAGTTGTGTACTGTTATATGTGGTACGTATCGTTCAGCTACTTCGCCAATCTGAGGGAAGAGTCAGAAAGGGGAGCATACTCCAAGGATCCATTCAGGCGCCAACGGATATAAATTTCGTGACTTTTCTACGATTGTGTGTGCAGCGTTATGTAACTAGAACTCCATGTATATATATAAAAAAACTAATTTATTTTATATTTCTATGTTATTAGTTAGATGTAGTATACATATCTGTTTATAATTAATTGAACTGCTTCTATGCAATGCAACTATCATAACATGTACCTATCATAGAATGTTTGACCATTATTATTTGAATATAATTATACAAGGTATCCCACATAACATGGGCCATACCCCCTTATCTGGTGAACTAGATAAGATTCAGAAACAATTGAGAATCGAAGTTGTTTATGGTCATATGAACTTCCTTTCTTAGATAATTTCAACTATGCCTGTGACATATCAAACATACGATTTTTTAAATGTAATATCCTGAATTCCATTTATTCGTCCTTGTATAGAGCTCAGAAAGATGAGTTCAATGATATATGATAACATGGGTTTCGGACTTATCCATAATCTTTTTCAATAAATAGCCAATCTTCAAAGCCCTATAGAAACGTTGAAAATCAAGTTTCCGATGCGCAGTTTTCGTCATGAATTACCAAATTTAATTTGTCATCTTGATATTTTGTCAATATTTAGGAAGATTGAATTTGCCAAAAGTGATTTTGCAAAACCATCATTTTCTCTGAATTTTCAAATGGAACCCCCTGTATTTCATTGCATCTTTGGATAGAGCTCAGAAAGATGACTTCAATGACATGTTATGATAACATGGGCCTGAGAACACCAGTTTCGGACTTAACCATGATCTTCTTCAATAAGTAGTCTAATTTCAAAACACTCGAAAACGTTGTGGAAAGTTCTACATGCATGGTTTTTGTTATAGATCCCTATTACTCTCTTTGAATATTCAAGTAACGCCAAAGTTCATGAATAAGTCCAAAATGGGTGTTCTCAGACCCATGTTATCTTGTTATCATTTATCGTTGTACTCATATACCTGGGCTATATTCACGAATGGAATGAAATACAGCTGATTTCATTTGAAAATTCAGAGAAAATGTTGGGTTTGCATAATGAGTCACCAATGTTAGCAAATAAAAAAATTCTGAATATTGACCAAATATCAAGATGACATATAGAGATTGGTGATTCATGACAAAAACTGCACATCGGAAACTTCAGCGTATCTATATAGGGCTATGAAATTTGGCTATTTGTTGAAGAAGATCATGGATAAGATCGAAACAGGTGATCTCAGATCATGTTATCATGTATCAATGAACCCGTCTTTCTGAGCTCTGTCCAAGGACAGAATGATCCATATGAAAAATTGTATGTTTGGAATGTCACGGGGATATGGATCATCATGTATAGTTGACATTATCAGAAGAAAAATTTCCATGAACCACGCCGATCCTCGATTGTTTGTTGCATTCATTCTAGTTTACCAAATGAGGGGGTGGCCCATATATGTTCATTCATCTTTGCGAAACATATATTTTTGTCTCCTATCTATGAGCTATGAAGGTATTGAGTATTTCGATGTTCTTGCGTTAATTGATTATATTGTAATGATATTCCCCTTAGAGGGGCTTTAGAAACATCAGCAGGAAGGCAGGAGTATAACGATCATCCTGTATCACGCATCCCAGATTGCTCTCCAACCTCTCAATGATTCCTACATACACCAGCATATTTCCGAACACTCAATATATGCCGCAGTGACAAATAACGTCACAGAAGATTCTGGAATGTTCTGGAAACAATCGATGGAAAAATTAGAGAGAGAGGTTTTGTTCTAAGAAGCTTCTAGAACAAAAAGGAGACGGAAGATCATTCGAGAACTTTCTCGAACCAAAGCCTGCCATGTGTTCTCATATAAAAGTCGGCCGAACAACTGAGTCAGTCAGTCAAACAGCGAGTGTCAGAGAGACAGTTATATACCGCGTGTTATAAATCGTTTTACATAAATAGTAGTTGTAAGTTCGATATAAATTAGTGTTTCTTTAGTTCAAATGAATCCTTTCGAAAATAAATAGTGTCGTGTTCGCTTCTGCACCCGAATAACGTAACAATATCATTCATTTCATATCCGTTTCAATTTTAGCAACATCTTTATTGACAGCGTTGACCTGAGTTCGCCGTGAGTTCTTAGTAAGTCAAGAAATTGGAGTTCTGGAAATGAACGCAGTATAGAGAATACTATCATCTTCAAAGCTGTGACCAGGGCTAGCGGTTACTTCCAACAGATTATTGACATGAAGTAGGAACGCTGTTGATCCTTGTGGAACGCTGGAATTGATGACAATGGTATCAGATGGGTGTTTATTTTGAGTTCATTGCTACCACGTGAAGCGATCTGCCTGAAAGAAATCTTTAGCATCTTCACGAGAAGATTCAAACTTTGGTTAGTGAAAGATGGAAAACAGTTTCAATCTCCTCTTGAAGATGCTAATATAGTTAGGAGAACGGGTGTCAGACCGTTTATAAAATCGGCTCAGTCGATATACCTGTCTGATTGAACCATCTTTGTATCTGTATCATCTGATATAAGACTTTAGTTACAGAAAGCTAGAGAGATAAGATATTATCTATGTCCATTAAATTTGAACCCCATTTCTAGAGAATACGGACATCATGCCATGGAACAACAATAAATGTTTTCTTCTTTTAGTTCAAACATGTAGCTTCGATTAGTTGAATAAACAAGAAAACAATAAATTGAAATATCGTAGTAGAATTGCATGAATGCATTATTTTTAGATTGAATATACTGCAATTGGTACTTCAAAAGACGCCATTTCAATACCTCACTATTTCATGGAATATCCAAAATCCTAGCTTCCGGCGGCAAACTTGTATAATATCTAGTCTGACGTTAGTAGCTCTCCTTCTATCAAATGAATTAGTTTTTCTACTCACGTAACACGTACGGATATGAACAACGTTAAATACGGATTGATGATCTGTGATTTATTCAAAATATTAAACTCGTTACCATGGCAACACAATTCATCAAACACATTACCATGGTGACATAGTTTTTTGAACACACCTTCAGTCGTTCGACTCGTTCGAGTCCTGCCAGACCTGTCAATTGTAGGAACTGTCAACTGTCATTTTCGAATTTAGTGGTAATTAGAATTATTCAAACAATTTCTGTTTATATCAGAATGGGGGAGACCACTGATTTTTTGAAACGACATTATCGTGAACTCTATACTGAAAAACTACCAGTGAATTAATTTTGAATTTTTTCATTCATGCTAAGACGATGAGAAAAATAAATTAGAATATGTCCATTTCTAAACACACAATTCCTGCGCCATTTGAAATTTTGTGAATTCATTGGTGAGACTGGTGCGACGTCTTATTCCCAACACGCCTATTGTCCTTGAACTCACCAATCACACTGCAACACTGCAGAATGACGAGATATCAGAGAGAGATAGCTACAGTGCGGGACTAATACGTCACAGCTCCACCATCATATTTGGCTGTTTGAAATATCGAATGGAATATGCTGATTTCAAAACGATATAGATTCGATTTCCTTCAACTTCAACTCAAAATATTGATTGTAGACCAAACGTAAATCATGATTCGTCGATTGAAAGAGGTTTACACGGATTTCTTCCCTCAGTGGTCTTCCCCATTGTTCATTGGAAATGTATGCCAAATGTAGACGAAAGTGAATGTTTTAGGTAGGTACTTGGATCCCAAACAGCACAAAATATTCTATGTATATTCTGACAACGTTCAAATATACTTATATTCAGCATACATATTCTCAAAGAATGTTCTCAGAATGATCATCGAATATTTTCAATCTGCAGTGAATATTCTATGGACATTCAATTTGACATATTCTCAGAATATTCTTCTTGGATGTTCTGGGAATATTCATCAATATCATAATGATATTGATGTTTCTATATTCTTGTATCAATATTTATAATGTTTTTCTTTTATTCTCTAGCCTCAATGCTATGACACCCTCAGAGTGTCCTAGGAATATTCTGATGAGTATACAAGGGTGTTTTAAAGCGCATGAAAATTATTTCAGTCGGAATTCTAAATATTCCGAGTGATAACTCGGGTGGGGTAGGAAGAAAGTGATTGGAGAAAATAGCAATGAATATGAATTCACTATACAGGGTGTCCCTCCGGGAACTGCATCGATCAATATGTAGAAAACCATAGATGGGCCGTATTTGAAAATTTGGGAGTTCACAATTGTTGATAAGTGCTATCCGGCGAAAATATTTTGATGATTGTGGCACTTCCGGTTGTACCGTAAGTGGACCCAACTTCGTTATATTAAATAGGACATCATCAAGGTTCCAGATTTAACGTATGATTCTGAACATGTTTCATGTATGATGTCCTACACCCAAAAGTCTAATCGTTTTCGAAATTTTAATTTTTGGATGTACGATAAATTGATATTCATCATAACAGGACGTGGATGCCTTGGCTGAATTCCTAGCCTCGCTACACTCGGCTATGAACTATCAGCCGCGGCAGTCATTCTACTCCTACTCATTCATTCTATTCCTACTACTCTACTACTATAATAATTCAACTGAGTTTTGTTTTAGATGTATGACAAACTGACATTTATCATACAGGGCGTGGAAAGAAATTCTGAATTGAGAAAAACCCAATCACGAATCTGCGATTGAAGGTCTATAAAAATAACAAGTTTCCATCGTTCAAGTTTGAACCCCTTGATTGGGTATGAAAGTATTGAAAAGGAATATTCTCAGATATATTATAAACATGAAAAAATGGATACATTTGAATAAATACATTGAGAATTCGCATTCTCTATGTGATGAAATTATTAATTCTTTCTCGGCATATTCAACAGAAAACAACTACTTTCCTGGCTATATGCCACGACGAACATTGAATTATATCAATTGAACATTCACGACTCAACAAGAACAGAGTATGTATACTAGTATATTTCTCCCATACATTCCAATTTTCATACCAATTTGGTAAGTAATATATTTTTTATATCGTTATATTCA